TTTAAAACATATAACGTGATAGTGTGCTTAGATGTGGGAAAGCTGCCGTAGCACCAGTTATATTCTTTAAGGTGAGTGCTATAATTACTCATCCACACGGTCACATATTTTACATGTCATACCATACTTAAACTATCATCACTGGTTTCAAACCTGGTGCACACATGTCATTAATCATGAAAGTTCTCCACCCAGTTGCACACCATACCATCCAACTAGAGTAATACCACAATCATTATACCTAGTCATGGAATATTAGTATTACAACTAAAGTAATACCACAATCATTATACCTAGTCATGGAATATTAGTATTACAACTAGAGTAATACCACGATCATTATACCTAGTCATGGAATATTAGTATTACACCACGCTACAGAATACTGCATCATCAAATTCTATCGTGTTTCCATATGATATCCACAGTAGCACCCGTACGTAAGTTTATCACTCCTGCAAATTACCTTAAACGGTGTTACAAAACCTTACAAGATAACATCACCAAAGACAAACCGGAACCTAGCCCAGTCCTTAATACACGATCATGTACGTGCATTTATAGTCACATAAACTCATAGCCCTACTCGCCTTCCCCACAACAGCTAGTCACACCACCCACGTGTATCCCACCCATGCATTCGCATCTCCCACGCACAAACTTTATACCAAAGATCTTGCCCAATATGTCTCTAAAATATCAGCAGTCAACCCACGTGTGATTCTCCGTTTCTTGTCAAGTATATGTCCTAGCTGCCGAGTTTACCCTTATCATATTGCAGCATTACTTCCTATTTTGACACTATGTAAACAAGCAAGGTTCACGACGCCCACGGAATATGATTACCTCCCCCCTCAAAGCACATGTTGACTTTCGTACCCACATCTACACACGACTAAATTTCACTCCTACGCCACCCACGCATCAAAAAGCCTACGCCTCCAACACTGCAACACACCCATTGTCGCCCACACTGCATGGTATCCACATTCAAACAAGGCTAAAACGAACACACTCTTAACACACCCACGTTTTGCACTCTCCAACACACCTACGCCAGCCGTCAATGAACCACGCCCTGACTGCCCACATTCTGGTACATCATCAGCGCCCATACTACCTTCACCATTAACTATGCACGGCGACCGCATTAATACATACACACCTCCCACGAAAAAAAATGGCAACACGACAGAATAATTAACCGCTCCTACACAATATCCATAAAATACTCTTGAAACTACAAATTCTCTACCACGTCCATCTTTTAGCAACATTTATACTTAGTTTTAACAATAAAATATAATGAAAAATCTGTAATTATTTATTTTTATGTCGAGATGTTCCCAGTTACTCAAGAAGCCGTTTTTTAAAGTAAACAGCCTACTCCAGTTTCAGAACTTGGGCGAAAAACAGACACCTCATATTACATCCTCAATACAACAAAATCAAGCATTAATCCGCCAGCAAAACTATCCCACTCACACAACTGCTAACAAAACTACATCCACATAATCAACAAAACTACACCCACATAATCACCAACAAAGCTACACCACCTACACAAACAAGAAAGCTAAACCACCAGCACAACCAACAGTATTACAACACTCACACCAACCAACCATTGAACAAAACTACATTACCCACACAATCCATCAACAATACTACAACATTGATTCCACCACCAATACTACACCCACAACCACGAAGAGAACTACATTATCCGCACAGTCGACCTACAATATTATACCACACAACCACGAAAATAAATCACCCACACAATCCACCAATATCACCTAGCTACATAATCTACCATTAGCAATGCTACACCATTCACAATCATCAACTAACCTACAACACCCCATACAACCACGGACATAACCGCGAATCCAAATAAAAAAAAGTCTCATCTACTTATAGTTAAGACTGTCAGCAAACCTAACGTAATATAACCTATAATCTAATTTAATCTAACCTAATATAGTATTATCTAACTTAATCTAGCCTAACCTAACGTAACATTTTTTTACTATTTCTGTTCGCCAAAACTACACCCACACTATCCATCAAAATAAGAGCCGCCTACAAGACTACGCCACCCACGCATACATACGCCCCAACGCATCTCGTGGTATTAAAGAGGTCAAAAGCAATCCGTACTATGCATGATATAATTATCTCCATTAAAATTTATCAATGCTTGTCTCTAGGTGTATGTTTATTTTGTTTTGAATCCGTAAATCAGGTAACTAATTTATACTTCCAGTCATCCATTATCAATGGTAATTTTTGAACAAATGACGAACACATGGAGATAAGACAGAATATAAAACTAGTTTATTTTTGTCCTAGTAGAATAAACTTGGATATAACGAGTAATGTGAGGTGTTTGAATGAGGTTACTACGCTCTTTCTGGGAAAGAATGAAAAATAATCTAATGGCTATAATCATAACCTTAATTTTTAAAGGGGTGGACCAGAAAGCCAGCGGAAGGCCTCGGTCAGATAACCAAAAGAACCAGCTGCGGGTTATCATACGACTTGAGACTCGCGTCAGGAAACACTTGTCCTGTTTCCTGACACACGTAACCTAACTAAAAGAACGAACCGGCAGAATTTTCAAATATTGTAATAGGGGTTAGTAACTGACAGGTTGGACCTGATCCAGCATGGCCAGTGTACAGGATTCAGGGCTTCATCCTTTAATAAAAAATTGTTTTATTTTAATCAGGGGGAAGCGCAAAATCCACAGGGGTCTTGGTGTCTAGGGAATGGGAAGAAATCAGGATCGATGAAAGGAAAGGGGGGAGAACAAGTCCAGTCCCTTAGATCAAGAACTTACCGGCATCGAGGCACCTTCCATGAGGAAATTAAAACCTAGATACAGTAACTGGATAATTGGTGAATAAATCAGTCAAAAATGTTTCATACTGTGCAAGCGTAAAACTCTATGTAATTTGTTAAAAGTATATGTTATGTTAAGATTGGGAAAAGATTAGCCGGCAGAGCTCTAGACGGCAGACCTAAGTCAGAAGGCCTAGTAGTGACCTTTTTATGAAGTTTGTAAAATTAATAAAAATAAATCGTAAATACTATAGCGAATATACAGAATCGAAAAACAAAATTTTAGTACAACTAAAAAATTTCAAGTTAAAAAATCCAACATTACTATTGATTGCTTTGTATTTAAACAAAAAAATTACCATACTGCCAAAGACAAATACGGGACATGATGCGCAGGCGCTCTCTCAGTCGTCAAAACTAGCTAGGAAAAAATCCAGTATAGTTAATACTTTATTAGGTAAGACACATATGCAACAGTTAGGTATCTTTATTTCGAAACGTTTCGCCTACACAGTAGGCTTCTTCAGTCGAGTACAGAAAAGCTGATAGAAGCAGAATAGACTTGAAGACGATGTAATCAGTCCATCACCCTTAAAGTTTTGAGGTGGTCAGTCCCTCAGTCTGGAGAAGAGCATTGTTCCATAGTCTGAAACAGTTAATACTTTATATCTCATTTGAGGTCATTAAAAAAATTTGAACTCGGACAAGTCAATAGATGCCATAAGTTATTTCGAAATTCTATATGGTATATTGTTTAATAAAGAAGAATTTACAATATTATACTGAATAAAAGAATTACAGTTAAATAATTCTTTGACATTAGTCTTCACACTAGATTTATTTAAAGATAAATTAAATCATTAAACTATCTTCCAGTAATTACTGCTCATATTTATGCAGTTTTAGCCATATTTCATTAAATTTAAGTTTCTTGTAAAAGTTATGGCAAATTTTGCAAGGAACATTCTACAAGATTGATGGACTGAACACATCGACTCCAGGTTGAGGGACTGATTACCTCATTCTCCTCCTCTCCTTACGCCTTCCTCTTTGTATTGGACTGATGAAGCCACTGTGTGGCGAAACGTTTCCTGAATAAAGATTCCCATATGCTGCATAAGTGTCTCAATCTTCAACTTGTCGGTTTTTCAAACCATTCATCACAAGGAACAGAATACACAACCGTGACGCTGTAAAAGCTTTCTATAAAATATTTGTTTTTAAAAAAGAAAATTCAAAGGTTTTGGGGAAATGAGAGTTTATCTTTGTAAGGCAGTCAGTGTCACTTATTAATTCAGAATGTTTTGTTACGTAAGAACATAAGAATGGAGGAACACTGCAGAAGGCCTACTGGCCCATGCAAGGCAGGTCCTTATCAAAACGACCTCTGATAAATTAGACACATGTGCAACTCTTGGGTATCTTTACTGAGGAAACGTTTCGCCACACAGTGGCTTCATCAGTCCATACAAAGGAGAATCTTGAAGATTCTCCTTTGTATGGACTGATGAAGCCACTGTGTGGCGAAACGTTTCCTCAGTAAAGATACCCAAGAGTTGCACATGTGTCTAATTTATCAACATGTCGGTTCTCTGAACCATTCATCTACAAAACGACCTCTACCTAAAGCTACCCAAGAATTAACTCCCGTACCCCATGACACCAATCAAACCCAGCCCCTCCCACTCGTATATTTGTTCAATTTCTTAAAGCTACCCAAGGTCCTAGCCTTTATCATTTAAAGGCAGTACCGCAGGGTATATATTGTCAAATACTAGGTCAGGTTTATACCATCAGGTAATCCATCACCACCAAGATTATAAAATTATAAGTAGTCAAAAGTAACGTAATTTACAAGATTATCCGTGGAAAATTATGTATAGTGCTAAACCCGTAGGGGTCATACAGCGAATGGGGGAATGGGAGGTAATCGGGTTGGATCCTAGAAAGGTTAGGACAAGTTTAGTTCCTTGGATCAAGAGCCTCACCATCATGGCAACTCCCTGGAAGAGCATCCTGGTAGAAGCGCACCTCAACCACACTCTCCATCACATTTTGCTGGCCAGCAAATTATGTCTTATTACTCCCCCGTCAGCGTCTCTTTATATTGTGTCTATATCATCAGTCGCGGCATATATCGTGAATATACGCACCTGCGAAGTCTTAAAGCTATTGAAAGTGCTGGAAAGTTGTAGCAGCGTGGTGCAGCACAGCCAACCTTCACGACGTCTTCACTCAAACTGACGCTGCTTTTTCCGCCACTTTGTAACTTATAGTAAAGTTCTACAGTCACTTGAATACATAATAACAAAAATAAACTGAATATTTAGTTCTGCTAATGAGACATTTAAAATTCGAAAATTATTATTTTGTTGTGGAAATGGTTTAATTTCTGTATTTAAAATTTGAATATGTCCCTGTATTTCATATAAATATTCCTCTTTCAATTTTACAAATTATCTTTATATAGTATATATTATGTATGGTTTAGAAAGACACGTAAGCAAACACTATAACATATTTATTAGAAAACGTTTCGGTCCTGGGACCTTGATCACTTCTAACATGTTAGAAGTGATCAAGGTCCCAGGACCGAAACGTTTTCTAATAAATATGTTATAGTGTTTGCTTACGTGTCTTTCTAAACCAACTTGTCGGTATTTATTACCAAGGTTTATACCATATATTATGTATAAATGTGTGTGTGTGTCGTGCAGAAAAAGTAAAACTTGCGATTTTTACTTAAATAGGAACGCTCTGTTTGCCTAATAAGAACAACGAAAATTTGTGTATGGAATAATTTCGCAAAAATCATTCTGAACCTAACGAAAAAAAATATTTCATTATTTGTTTATTATTAAATTATTGTAAACTTATTTAAAATATATTTTGTTGGATTAGGCTAAATTAAATTGCGCTTGTTATAATAAAGTTCTTCTGGTACAAAATTACTAATTTTTACATTTACATAAATGGAAAAATATATATCTTTAAACGTATAAGAGAAAATTCTAGAAAGGACTTAATTTTAAATGAGTTCTTGTTGAGTGCCCACAGAAACACTCCCTGATTTCAAACAGGTATAACATGCAACTTTGTTGTAATAATCTTTCACAGTAGCTTCAGATGTAGGATATCAGCTTCATGTGGTATAGTGTAGCATTAAAGACAATATGCGCCCCTCTGGTTGTTCGGCAAACATCGATGTGATAGCCCAGGTCGGTCCAGACGCTCTGCAGCATATCTTGTATTATCACGCGAACTGCTTCAGTGATCGAAATTTTCAGCTCGTCCAGGGTTGCAGGTAGTGGTGGTACGTAAACTGTGCTCTTCACGTACACCCAAAGAAGTCACAAACAGTGAGGTCCGGAGACCTCGCAGGTCACTTGCAGAGGTGGAAGCCAAGGATGCCATTTACAACAGTAGTCAAACACCCAGGTACTTCACCTAACTGGACTCTCCTAATTGTGGTTGCAGGGATCGAGTCATACCTATGTACCTATCTATGGTATTAGATCTACACTGTATGACCCTTGTAGGCTTAGCGCTTCTTTTGAATATAATAATATAGTACTAGATACCGTACAGAGAGGTATCCTCATTACCACCATATATTCACATCAATGCTGTGCTAAATCTTTGTTAAAGCAATACAATTATGTGATTAGCGTTACTGATGATATGATTCACACCACTCGAAATATCAACACTCATCATACCTGTAATCATGTAATGTTCAATATCCGTGCCAAATGATTATGACCAGATACAGACATATAAAAGTTCATTATCTTTGTAACTTGTTCAGCTATCAAAACTTTGGGGTCCAGTCCCTGGACCCATTATGTACCTCTGTAATCTTTTGGCTACCCCCCACAGAATGGGTATTTGGTGCATAAATAACGATATTAAACTAAAAAAAACTAATTAGCTTGACTTAAAATCATAATCATTAATCATAATTCAACTTATAATTCTTAAAACAATTAAACTCGATAAAAACCATATAGCATGTACTAATAGGATATTCGATTCTCTTGTATTCATTATAAATCCCAATTTTATTTTTACAACCACCTAAGAGACTATACATATAACCAATCAATTAATTATTACCTTATTAATTTTAAGATAGTCTTAAGTTTGCAAAAAATTGCAAAAAATGCTCTGCATACTAAGTGGCTTTCTGTATGCATGCCTAAATATCATTCACCATTGTACAAAACATTGTATCATGCTGAAATAAAGAATATTTAATCTTTTTCTTAAAAAAAAAAAGACATTAAATCAGCGCCGTGCCAGAAGGGAAGGAAGGAGCTGTCAGTAAGACAGGTATAATAATTACAGCAGAGTGCGAGTAGGAGTCCCTCTATGGTGCTCATCTCAGGGCTATTGTACCATGTTGTATTTTTACCATTTATCTGTAGGTGTTTTTCCTACAATAGTTTGTTCATCTCTTGTCAGACAATGATTTGTTTTTACCATTATTACGACGAAGTTTTCTCAGCCTGAATAACCTCTCAAGGAAGGTGCCCTTGGTTCAAGGAAGGGATCTTGATTCAAGGTGCCCTTGGTTCAAGGAAGGGGGTCTTGATTAAAGGAAGATCTCTTGATTCAAGGAAAGACTTGATTCAAGGAAAGACTTGATTCAAGGAAAGACTTGACTCAAGGAAAGACTCTTGATTCAAGGAAGGACTTGATTTAAGGAAGGACTCTTGATTCAAGAAAGGACTCTTGATTCAAGAAAGGACTCTTGATTCAAGAAAGGACTTGATTCAAGAGAGGACTCTTGATTTAAAGAAGGGCTCTTGATTCAAGGCTCTTAATCTAATTGGTATGACTGTAAACAACTTATTGATAGCAATGGAATTTAATCCTTTTTGAATAATCAAAATAACCCACGAAATGATTGGGCAGATCTAACACCTGCTATCCTTACCTGACTGTTGTCACTCACTCACCCATTTGACCATAAACAAAAATATTAATCTCAATCTTAAAATAATGAATCCTATGATACTCCAATACTGAAACTATGTACTGTGCCAAAACAAAAGCATTCACATTGCTAAACTCACAAACTAGTATTTAGTCACTTAGCCATAATACCAACTTACCTCATAATTTGTAATATTTTAAAATAAAGAATTAAACTAAGTCTGCCCGAAATGCCTAGCCATGCTAGGCGTTCTAGTGGTACACTCTGTAATCATTATTTAACTACATATAAACCACACAATAACCAAATTCTGTAAATTCAACATTGTAATCCTTGAAGATTGAGACACTTATGCAGCATATGGGAATCTTTATTCAGGAAACGTTTCGCCACACAGTGGCTTCATCAGTCCAATACAAAGAGGAAGGCGTAAGGAGAGGAGGAGTATGAGGTAATCAGTCCCTCAGCCTGGAGTCGATGTGTTCAGTCCATCAATCTTGTAGAATGTACATTCTACAAGATTGATGGACTGAACACATCGACTCCAGGCTGAGGGACTGATTACCTCATACTCCTCCTCTCCTTACGCCTTCCTCTTTGTATTGGACTGATGAAGCCACTGTGTGGCGAAACGTTTCCTGAATAAAGATTCCCATATGCTGCATAAGTGTCTCAATCTTCAACTTGTCGGTTTTTCAAACCATTCATCACATTGTAATCCTTATAGAGAATAAACTTTGAATTCTAAGGAAGACCTAAAACGAATCCAAACGAATAATCCACACTGGCTTTTTTTTTGTCATTATGGGTCATTGACCTCCAGAGTTACCAATCTGTGGCTTAATGATAGCATCCAAGGACCCGGGGTTGATTCTAGGTCGAGTGGACACTTGCGTCCTTAAGACAAAAAGTTTATTTTGATTATTAACCCCGAAGAGTCAGTAATTCAGGATGACAAAAGACAGTCAGGATGGTTTATTTCCACTGGGCTCCTTGACCCCTTTTACCCAGGATGCAACCTTTAACAGCGGTATAACACCCAGGTACTACTAGATGAATCGGGACAATAGGTGTAAGTTTGAATCATCAGAATTTTCTACAAACATCGTTTTCATTTATTTAAATTATAAATTATAGAAAACGTATTTGTGTTGACTGATGATAAACTATTCTAAAAGACGCAGACTTCAAATAATAATACCTTAATTTACTACAAGTACATGTACAAGGTATACAGGCCTAGCTGACATCAATGACATACTACTATATAGAAAGCCCCTTGTTATGCTGAGCATTTCGGGCAAATTAGGTCAGTTTTGTCCCAGGATGCGACCCACACCAGTCCACCAGGGTGGCCCGGTGGCCTGGTGGCTAAAGCTCCCGCTTCACACACGGAGGGCCCGGGTTCGATTCCCGGCGGGTGGAAACATTTCGACACGTTTCCTTACACCTATTGTCCTGTTCACCTAGCAGCAAATAGGTACCTGGGTGTTAGTCGACTGGTGTGGGTCGCATCCTGGGGGACAAGATTAAGGACCCCAATGGAAATAAGTTAGACAGTCCTCGATGACGCACTGACTTTCTTGGGTTATCCTGGGTGGCTAACCCTCCGGGGTTAAAAATCCGAACGAAATCTTATCTTATCTTAACCAACACCCAAGTACCCATTATGAACTGATGGGTGAAAGGGACAGCAGATGCCTTATGGAAACACGTCCCTAATGTTTTTCAGACGTACCGGGAGAGATTCGAACCCCGGACCTCAGTGTGTGAGCTGAGTGCCCTAGCGATCGAGCTACGGGAGCAGGAGGTAAGGCTGTCCTCAAGTGATCACCTGTCTAGTTACTGGTCAGACCCAACGATGTTTAGTCTTACTGACCTAATAACGATTACATATAATCCAGAGACACATCACGTTATGTGTAGAAGACTTCATTTATCCCTGAGGGTTATTAACCCAGGATAGCCTATGCTATCATCCTGGAAAGAGAGACCTAAGGACCCGTGGGAATAAACCAAATTGCTTCGTTTTCCTTGTTATTCCTTAGGAGTTAATAATCGATATAAAATCTTCTTCCAGGATATAACCCACAGCAGCCCACTGACTCTTAGGTACCTATTTACTGTTAGGTATATAACTCCGGTCTTATTGAGGATTTGCAGTCACCTAATTAAAGTTTGATGGTCCAAGTCGGACCGAAACCGCCATAAGCTTTTTTTCTACCATGTTCGGGTTATTTGTGTATTGTTCCAGTCACGGTATTGTGGCATGTTTTTGATTCACACTGGTCAGCCATACTGGAGGTGACTCCCAGCGAAC